CATTCTTCGTGAAGTGGTTGTCGATCATATTCAGTGTTGTGGGCTCCAGCGGCCCAAACGTCGGCACAGCTAGCGTAACCCGTTGATGATTTCGGACTCCAGCTCGTTGATGTTTGATTCCAGCATCTTCTTCTTTTCCAAGCATTCAGCAAGTACGTGGCCAACTTCTGCTGCATCAAGGCCAAATAGTACACGTCGGCTCGACCATCGCAAAAGTCCCAAAAGTCAGCGCTGCCTTGTCTTGACACCTTTGAACCAGCTTCAGCTCTCGCAAAGTGGCTGCTAACCTCCTTAGACATCCTCTTCAACTTGACTGCCGAATGTACCATGTGCGAGGAGGTGTCGATGTCTTCAAAGACAGCGTCGCCCGAGATCAATGTGTCGTACTCAGTGGTATCTGAGGCAAATGCATTTGCCACATCAAACCAAAAGGTGGAGCCTCCGTCATCGAGGACGTCACGCGGGAGCAAATTTCCGGAAGTCAGGAACGAGTCGAAAAACCGATCAGAAAAGAGTACGTTAATGAGCCGAAACATGCAGCCAGCGCTGCGTCTCTCCTCTTCTTCACTTACCCCTTTGGATCGCTTGCGTTGACGAACAACCAGAGCTTGAACGGCTTCTTTGTTTGAGTCCCATGCTTTTAGTAGTTCCACACGGTCTTGTTTGCGAGTGTTCTTCACAACATTACGCTTTCGCGCCGTACATCAAGCTTGAGTTGATCCAGAGTCCAGTCCCCGTAGCTGTCGGAGGTGGTTGGACGTATGGTGCGTTTGCGCGAGTCGAGCGGTGCGGCCACGGTCCACTTCGAGCTCGGTGCGGGAGCGGTCATGTTGCTTTTGCTTGTGGGCCGCTTCACACAATGGTACCACATGTTTGGTACAATCTCGCTACTGGATCGCAATCTCGTCAAGATGGCCGGATTGCGATCTTCATTATTGACACCTATTCATCTTGCGATCTCTTGGATCGCAATCCACGTTAAGAACGGCCCTAAGACAATTTACCAAGCTCCACAAATATTGCGTGTCATACACAACACGTCACCGTGATAGCAAGCTCACCATTGCCCGCTCTTCGGCGGTATTACTACTCACATACCTCAATAATATATTCTCTAGTGGCGTCAGTCAATTCCACCAGCCCACAAACCACCACTATTCCATTCTGCACGTTTTTTACCGTACCTGCGGTACCATCGCTCCTGCCTTCACACTAACACTATCAAAATACAGCTCTTGCCCTCCTTCGGCACCAAAAACGGCATTTAAACTACTCTTCTGAAGACCAACCAAAACTGGCATACACACCAACACTCCTTCAGACTTAGCAAGCCACGCTACTCTTTGCCGTGTTACACCAGCACTGGAATATTCACTGCCTCCCATTGCGTTGAACGCGCTCGGTCATCCCCACTAGAACACACTACCCTGGTGCGTATCTCATCATATTCAGCCTTACCGCTCAACAAAAACAGCATTTGCAAGCATTCCGTGTTGCGGCCAGAGTCGCCACAGTAGTGCTCGGGTTGTTGGCTACCCCTTGCCCGGTAGGCAGCGTCTCCAGAGATTTTAGAATCGGGTGCTGCTCGATCTCCGTTTCCGCCACTCCAAGCGCCTTGGACACCACCGGCAAGAACTTGCCGTAGTGGGCAGTGCCAACGACACTTAGGCTTGTCAGCAAGGTTCTCCTGGCCGAACTGCATAACCGCTGCCGCACCGATAGCGCTGTGCGGATCGAAGAGATAGTTGTGCACCTTCTTGTACTCGGCGATGGTGGAGCGCACCTCCTTCTGGACAACCGCGTACGCATCATCCCGTCCTACGCCTTGGCGAGCAGCTCGCCCGAGATCGTGAGCTCGCCGGTCTGTTCGAAACCCTGCATCCAGCCACGCAGAACATCGTGTCCCTCGCCAGAGAGAGCAAAGAGGTAGCGCTCGAAGTTGCTAGACACACAAATGCCCATTGACGGCGAGATGGTGTGCTGGATGTCGCGACGCTGGTACTTACCACTGGAGAAGAAGCAGTCGAGGATATCATTCTCGTTGGTAGCCACGATCAGCTTGCCAATAGGAACGCCTAGCTTCTTGGCGTAGAAGCCAGCAAGGATATCGCCGAAGTTACCCGTGGGGACGGAGAAGGCGACTTCACCAGTCACGCCCTGCTCGCGAGCACGGAAGTAGGCCCAGACGTAGTAGACGATCTGCGCCAGGATGCGGGCGAAGTTGATGGAGTTGACAGCTCCCAGGTGGTACTTGGCCTTGAAGTCGGCGTCAGCGAACAGATCCTTGACATTGGCTTGGCAGTCGTCGAACGTACCCTTAACGGCCACATTGTGGTTGTTCTAGTCCAGCACCGTGGTCATCTGGCGCTGCTGCTTGGCGCTCACGCGACCTTCTGAACCGCGATGACTCTCATTAGGGAACACAGAAGCCATTGCAGTGCTTATTAGGTATTAACAGGAAACACGAAGCCAATGCGTTCGTTGGGATAGCCCAACGGGAATAGCTGTTGGGCAGACAACTCCAA